CAATCAAGCTATAAAAAATCTAGCTGGTAGAGCAAAGATCTACAAGTCTTGCACATGCTCATCATCAAAATTTACTGTCAGCAACTCCAGTTTGACAGAGAATGCATGGCTTACTTTACTTGCACAGAAATATCCAAATTTGTTCTCACAATTTTCACTTTGTCTAGGAAATGAAATATGCAAATCAATGTCGGAGCTCAAAACTTTATTGCTTGCATTACTTTGGTCCCACCTAGGTGAAGTGTGGTAACAGTACTGTTAGATTTAGGTCAATGGAAAAGCTTAGGTGTTTTGTCAGCTGAGGGAAAAACAAATGAGATAAAATTAATGTAGTTAGTTACAAATCGCCGAAAAACTCACTTTAATGGGAGGATTCACGACCAAATGAGCTGCACCGACGCAAATGCCGAGAGTAGAAGCTGCCTCTCCATTAAGCAAATTCTCGTAAAGTAAGAAGGAGAAAGAGCGATCAAGGCTTTCAACAAGTTTGGCATGCATTTGTCCAGCATATGGACTTAATTATTCAGGTGCTGTCAATTAAGGACTGTATTGACAATTTGCAACTCACTATAAGCTAGAATGGATACTGGTAGAAGCGTCACCAGGAGCAGTATGCCACTGAACCAAAACGGCTGCATGTGAAAGAAGTGGGGTTCTGCTTCACTTAACTGATCTTGTGTCATAAGGCTGAAGCCAATTGGTGAGAGGCGGTTGCGTCAGACGAGAATGGTGGGTGACCTTACTTGGAGTATTGTGCACAAAGGAGCTGGTCAGGCAAAGCCTTTGAATTGATTGCTGACTTGGAAAAATATACAAAATAAGTCAGATAAAATAGGATTTGACTGACAGATGGCATGATGGCATGTTAAGTAAAGTTGTCATTTAACGTCAGCTTTAAAGTCATAACTAAGGTTTTGATGAACGACCGGAGGACGGTACCCACAATGCAAATTCCATCAAGTGTCAGCACTTGATTGAGGTGGTTTTGCTGGGACTAAACCCATTCGGTGGAATGTGTAATGCTTATTGCGCTTTTTACTTTTTCATGTGCTCAAAACGCCACCAATGTATGACAACATAATGGGCCGCGATAAAATTTTGCCAGTAGTTGTGCTCTGAATATCTACTTCCTATGCTTAAAAATGTTCTCATCGTAAAAAACTTGATGAAAAATGGGTAATATTTCCTAATAGAAATGAATTGCCCTCTCAGTGCCTGATACCCATGTCCTATTATGCCCACTGAACTTGTTCGCTGTAGTCTTTTGTTCAACAGTGCTCTTAGCTTCTATCGTCAACAATGTTGAACATAGAACTAAGTTAAACGTTTTACAAAAGTAATCGCACGACTAGTTATCTTTTGATTAACAGTGTTTTGGATCACTCTGCAGCAGCATCATTCCAGCTCACATGATTTGCATTTATTTCTTAAATGCAACTTCACCCTAGACGAATGAAGGCAGAGTTTGTTGGAAACAAATGGAAAAATTCCAGAATTTGTGCTGGCCTTATGTCACGTTGTTTGGCTGTGTGAGCTGGCGCTAATCTGTGAAGAGGTAGGTTATGAAAACTGCACATTTTCAAGAGTAGCGAATCATTTGCACTAGCATCCACACACCTTTGATGGTGGTATTGCTGAGTTATGAGCAAAGGGTGGGTGTCAATGTCACGTTTTCGCTTACAATGTGTTGAGTGGCAATGCTCCGGTATTGCTGCCGTGATGACCACAATTGAAGTCAGTCTATCCACTTAAATATCAAGCAATGAGGATCGACCCACCGAAAAATCGTCGGTTACCAATGCGCTGTGGAAAAAAGCATCCAACTTTTTCCCTCAATTGCAACCTTTGTCACAATCGAAAATATAAAAACTCAATGGTCAGAGGACTCAAGTCTTGGAATGTCTAGAATATGCAATACCATTGCTGTTAAAAGTTAGACCATAGTGCAGAGGCTATACTGAAAAATGACTAACAGATTATCACTTAAAAAAATGATTCAAAATTTTGTTAGTGGAGGGAAAACGAAGGAGGTGAGATTAATGCCGTGTATTATCAAGTACAGAATATTCACTGTAGTGGGTGGATTTATTGCCAACTAAGCTGCGCTGATGCAAATGCTGAGGGAGTAAGCTGCCTCCCCATTAGGTGGGCCCTCATAAAATGGAAAGGAACAAGAGTATACTGGGCTTTTAACAGATTCCACATGAAATTTTCTATCCTTTACGGTTAGGTATACTAATACGTCCTTCAAAGTGTTGTTAATGTGGAGTCAATGATAGAGGCTGTTAAAATTGCGCTAACAAGAGGAGATTTGTAACTTACCATTAGCGAGGACGGAAACTGGTGGAGGTGTCACCACAGGCATGGGGCGCTGAACTGGATAAACTACATATCAAAGAAGTGAGGATTTTACTTTTCTGCATTGTTTTAATCAGTTACGGCTCTTTTATCAAAAGGCTGAATTTAATGAGCGAGACGAGATTGCATTAGAAAGGAAAGATGGGAAACTTGGGAGTCACGTAAGATGGCACCGTGTTTACGCTAACTGACTTAACTTTATGCCAATTTAAGCATTGTGGGCATAAAAGTGCTTGCAAAGGCATGAATTACTACAAAAGTAAGACTGCTTAGGTTATGCCATGTACTCTTGACTAGCGATGAAGCAGCGTTACCATTATAATAGCTAGGTATTTTAAATAAAAACAAAGTACAATTCTTTTCCAAAACCTCATGAGAAAGTAGATGACGCTGTGCTACTGATCGACACATTCGTCACTCATCATTTGGTAGTTCAGCTAGGTCAACACATCAGCAAGTTTGAAAATGAGAAGCAGTGTCTACTGAGGCCTCGTAGTAGCAAATACCTCTGTAGCTACCCAAAAGTGATGGCACAAAATCGTGGCTTTTGATATTGGGCCTTGTACAGCTGCCTCCCAACCCAAAGACCTACCTTCTCTGTATCTGCACCTCTCCATGCTTGCCCACAATTTCAACACATAATTTTGCATCAGAGAATTATTTTTACAGTGATTGGTTTCACAAATTCACCCATAAAATTGGTCGGTTTTGACAGACTACTCCTTGCTGCGGTTTCGAATTAAACACTGCTGTTATAGCGCTTTGACTGTTTCAACTGTTTTACACCAACACACAAGCTATCAGTGTCACTGATCAGTGTTGCAAGGGGATTGGTCCTGACCCCATCCTTACTCCCTTATTCGGTGGCCAATAGCCTTGAAAGGTTAAATATATGCATTAAAAGATAATTTTACAATATGGTGTGCTATGAAGCAGCATTAGATTTGGTATGAGGAAATCTCGCCTATATTGTGATTCCATTTCAGGATCTCTATACCTCATCAAACAACTTCCATTGGTGTCGGTAGTCCGTTTCCCACCATTGCTGTCACGGTCCACTTTCGGGGCTAAGCCGGATAGCGCTGCCGTAGGTGCATTTTACTCCAAGTGGTGTCCAAATGTTCTCGCTGCTACCCGACAACTTCCACCACTACTGTGGCAAAAGTTGCACAGTAAGCGCTTCCTCTGCCCCTGAAGCACACATCACCATCGCCGCTGCAATCACCGCTATTTTCACCGCTTTTTCGCGTGGTGCAGCCGGAGAGAAGGCTACCTGCGAAAGCTCACGAAGACACGAAAAGTGGCGGAGCATTAAGAGGTAAGAGGAAAATCAGCGGCACTCGTTCCTCTTTTTAATTCCTCTAAGGAAGGTGCGTGGTCGCGAGACTTCTTGTCAAAGTAAACTACCGTCTGTCGAGCAGCGATGCAATTTCGTTGATAATAAGGCTTGTTGTGCTCTATGGTAACAAATACTTGACGCATCTGCTGTCGCAGCTTCATCTGCAGCAACTCCCCGTCCAGCCACCAATAGGTCTTTTGGATGGAAAACACCGCTTTGAGCTAAATGCAAACTCTTGCCTGTTTAAGTTTAAGAATGAATTTGGTTTGGGTAGAATCAAATGTATTTAATTGTAAGCCACTAAATGGATGTGGTTTATGCACACACCTGGAATTGCCCATATTAAGCATGAATTTGCAATCCAAATTAGAGCCTACTATTAACATACCTTAGACTTAAACGTTCTCATGAAATGCAAAGTTAGTATTAAACTTAAAATTCAAAATAGAGAGATGATTTGTTTGGAAACAAGTTTTTCACATTAAAACATGTTTCAATGGTGCTGTCACTGGAAGCAGCCATAGCGACCCACTCAACATGTGACTTTTTACAAAAAGGGCCATTGTGAATTATTTTAACACTGTCAAAACTTGACACAAGGAAATCCAGTCATTTATTTTGCAATGCTAAATTTGGTCGCTGCTCGATACGTTCCACTCTTCAGGCTTAGGAAGGTGCATTAGTTCTTCCCTGAGAATGGTAAAAATGGGAAATTCACAATTTGAATTTGGCTGCGGTAGCTATACAATCTAGGCAAAGTCTCCTTGATAAGGTGCAGAGAAAAATTGCCTTGATGTAGTGATTTCACCATTTATAAGTACTGAAATGACGTATTGAGTATAATAATTTGTTCTGTTGAAATGATCATGAAAATGCACGTAAATCGGAGCAATTGGACATACCTTCCTTTAACCAAACGTCAAGAACTATCCAAATAACGGCACTAAGCTTGCGTTTGTCACCTTTACTCCACATTTTGCATGCCGATCCTGCATTAGAAACAACTGCTACCTGAGGAAAAGTTTCCACGGGTGAAAAATTGATGTACCAGCTTAATTGATGCTTACGCATAATACTTGGTAATGATAAAATGTGTTCCAATTTCGCTCATTCTTTCAGAATTTGTCTACTGTAATCTCAATATAAAAAAGCGCGCACATTTTGTAACATTGATGCAGGTACCAATTGTCCAGGGCACCGATAAATTCATTACGTGTGCTGGTCTCGTCGGCTTGTCAACAACTCAAAGACCTCACACTTCTAGACTTTGGTCGCCTGCGAAGAAAAAGCGCTTTTGTTTTTTCCCTCATTTCATTAATAATGCTCCGGCATAAAATGCGAAGAATGCGTGACGGAACATGACAAAAATAAGTGACCTAGAAATGAGAGAGACGAAGTAAAAGCATAACTCTGCTATACGTCATGCAGAGTAGAATCGCAACAGTGTCCGTCACGATCCGTGCCTATGCCCCATCAGATGTCCATTTATCATTTGTGTACGTCCTACATTGATTGTGCGAATTCAATTGGTGTGCTTCTCAGGCTTCATTTGTGCCAAGTATAGTGATGCTATATTATATAAGAGGTCGACTTTGAAGACTTGACAAACATCACGTCATTTGTCACCTCTACTGCTACGTGACAACGATTTAGCATGCCAAATAGTGGACTTTACAAACTGCTCCTACAAATGTGAAGTACGTAAAGAAATGGACAAATATTTGGCAAGAATTCCTTTGTATCATATGCGCTTCTATGCACTTTACCACAAAGTGTAGTCTTTCAGTTGTGTTTGCGAAGGGAGAATTTTGACTTAGAATAAGCTAGAAGTGAGACTGTGAGAAGTCCCACCAGAAGCACTATGCCAATAAACTGAATGAATTGATTGTCAAAGAAGTGGAGTTCTGCTTTGCTGCTTTGATCTCAGCCTTCGTACTCCCCTTTGTCATGAGGTTGATGCCACCCGGCAAGGGGCAGTGACATGGGAAGAGAGAGATGGGAGCTTTAAAGGCCACGCTGGGTGGCACCATATTCACACCAGTGGGCTCGGTTTCATGACACATCATGTGCAATGCGTACAAAGGCTGATTTACTGAATTCTGACTCACCATCACTGCTGAGAGAGTAACCAATTCCCACAAATTACACTGGATGAAGTAACGGCGAAACAGAGAATAGAGTATTCAGCTTTTATTTGTCACCACGTGGTTTGCATTGTAACAAATTCCCCAGGTGTGCAAAATGCACTTAAATTCCTTTCCTGTTATAACAGGTGTCGAAAAATCAGCACTCCCAGTGATTAATAGTTTGGTGCACCATTTGGCTTAACTTTCAAATTTTACCTCATTTTTACAAATTCTCAAAAATTCCCAATAGGTTTGCTGCCATTCTACGGCAGAATCAAAAATCTTTGCCTCACCATCGCGATTTCACATTCGGTGCCTTATCAAACCGTTGTGTAACTAACAATAACCGAGGAAAATAAAATGTCACTACTATCAATTGTGAGCAAGGGTGGCACCAAACTCGACCAAATTCACTTGTGGAAATTTAGTGGAACTTGAATGTTCGGTCTATTTTTGCTGAGGAAGTGGAGCATTCAAGATAATTTTGTGGAAAACACTGCATGAATGCGGCTAAAATTGCATTCCAAAACATTTTTTTTCAATTCATTGCAAATAGTGTATGAGGAAAAGAGGAAGATGCACACTGGAAGGATTGGCGATACATGCAATTAAAGTGATGCAGACTTACACGAATGGGCATCCAAGGTAAAACCAGAGGTTGCGCCGATATGATGCGGGTTTTATTCTTCAGGTCACTACTGGCACAATTCAAAGGAAAAGGAGACGACATACAAATAAAGATTAGCAGTAGAGCAATTAGAAAACAATATAAAGATTGTGTAAACTTACAAGAAACATTATTGAACTATCAGACTGTTTCCCCCTGACGGCCAGACGAATTTAAAACGTGGTTGATAAATGTGAGTGGGGTTGGTGTGCCACTGCATAAATTTTATTATTAAGGCAATCCAAAACAAAACTGCTCAACATGGCAAGGTGCATTCTTGACGCCACAAATTGAGTACATTCCAGCATCATTAGAAACAAATGTCTTTCTCGCGCCAAACCACTTTGGATAATTTTCATGGCGATTGCCTCGGCGTGGCACAAAGGGAGATGAGATTTTTTTCTGTTAAGGAAGGAGGAAACAGCTGCATAGACTGATCGGCATCAAGGCATGTAGACATGGGAACAGTCGGTTTTATGAAGTCAATATATAACTTCACGATGGATGTCTAGCAGGGCATAGACACGGATCATGTTGAAAGTAACTGAAGTTCTACTCTGCTTTTACTTCACCATTCTCACTTCCTGATTATTTACTCTTTATCCTGTCTTGTCATTCATTGTTCGCATTTCATGCTTGATCATTACTAATGTGATGGAAGGGGACAGAAATACATTTTCTTTTGAATCGGAAAGAGCCTAGATGTGTGGATTTCTCGAGATGTTGGGAAGCCGATGGG